TTCTAATGGTGTTTGTAGATAGGATATCATGTCCGCATCTTGCACAGCAATTAACCACTGGGAGGAATGTATGCAATGTGTTAATTATTGAAACTGTCCTACCAATTTGACTTGAAACTGTGTCATTGCTATTTGTTTATCAATAAAATTATGGAAAAAAATATACCATATCGGGGGCCTGCTGGTTAGCTTAGTTGTTTAAGCACCTGCTCATGCAAAATATACAATATTTATTTATTTATTTTATGAGTTTAGGACAGGGTGTACAGGGTCTCACTACATATATCCATTGCATAGCAATTCTCCTGTTTTCAGCCTCCTAAACTCTGGGATTACAGGTGTACATCACCATGGCCAGTCTCAGCACGCCCTGGGGGCCAGGGCTGGCACCGCAGGCCAGGGATTGAACCCTGGCAGCTGCGCTCTGCTGAAGCAAATGCTTTAGTCCGCTGAGCTATCTCAAAATATACCATATTTAGAAACATAATTTTTTTTTTCTTTTGCGGTACTGGGGATTGAACTCAGTACCCTGCACTTGCCAGAAACATAATTTTTCAGATAAATTTAAAAATATATAGAGAGGGCTGGTGAGATGGCTCAGTGGTCTAAAGCACCTACTTAGAACAGGCTTAGCAAAGCACAGGGACCGCGGTTCAATCCCCCAGCACCACATGCCAGCCAGCTGCGCCCCCTGGTGGGCTGAGCTGGCGACACACACACACACACACACACACAAATAAATAAATAAAATTTTTTAAAAAACCCGGTATAACACATACAGAGTAAGCATTGTGTGAAAGTTATCTGTGAAATCAGGCGTGGTAATGCATGCCTGTAATACCAGCACTGGGGAGGCTGAGACAGGAGGATCACTCTGAGTCTGAGCTATGTAGGAAGGCCCTGTACCAAAAAAGAAAAGTTAGCTGTTATGTTAATAAACATTTTTTTCTTTTTTTTTTCTTTTTGAGACAGGGTCTCCCTATGCAGTTCAGAATGGCTTTGAGCTCACTTTCTAGCCCAGACTGATCTCGAATTTGCAGTGATATTCCTGGCTTAGCCTGCCTGCCTCAGCCTCTCTGCCTCAGCCTCCCAAATGCTGGGATAACAAGCATGTACCATCATGCCCAGCTCAATGTTAAAAAACCTTTAATGAGTTATGTCTGTGAAGATGGCTTTAATCTATGTCTTTTGCACTGTGAATCCTGTTACATGCTTTGTGGATTCTTTTCTCGCCCATTTCCAGCCCTCCACATAGTTAAGGGAGCCCTCAGAGTCCACCTGGGGCTCCAGGTCCTCAAGCATGTCCTCTCCTTGGATTCTGTCTCCCAGGTTCACAGCTGGAGCAGATCTGTTGTTTCACCTGCGGCAGCTGCTGAAACAGCTGAAGGAATTAAGTGACATGATTCACTACGAAGGTGACCAGCTGAAGAAAGGAGTGGAGCTGCTGAATGCCCAGGTCACAGAGTTGCTGCAGTACCTGCTGCATAGGTCTGGAGGCCAGAGAGGGTCTTCTAGGGAAAGAAAGAGGGAAGGAAGCAGGGCAAACGTCCTTATGGATCCTGAGCAGCATACCCCTTCCACTCCTGTCTCCCCAGCGCCTTTGTGGTGGAAAAGCAGCCCTGTATGCCACAGACTCCACATCGGCCCCTCATCCTGAAGACTGGGAGCAAGTTTACTGTCCGAACGAGGTTGGTCTTTTCCTCTGCCCTGCCAATGTCGCTGTTTTTTACAGATCTTCTGGCTCTTGAGCTTTTTTTTTTTTTTTTTCCTGGAACCGGGGATTGAACTCAGATCCTTGTGTTTGACAGTCGAGTGCTTATCCTACTGAGCCATCTCCCCGGCCCCTTGAGCTTTTACCTTTCTCCTTGATTTACCTTTTTTTTTTTTTTTAACCTTTTATCTTTGTGTGTGTGCCACCTATTTTTAATTTTTTTTTTTTTGTTTTGTTTTTTTGTTCTGGCTCAATCTGCCTTAAGTGCAGGTCTGGTAAGGCATGGGGAGCTGGGGATCAAACCGCGGTCCCCTGCACCTGACTGGGTTTGCACCAGCAGGCCCTTAAACAGCAGCTAACCCACAAGCCTCCCTAGTTTTAATATTTCTCTTATCTTTTTTTTTTCTGGTGAAATAGGGTATTGCTATGTATTTCAGGCTGGCCTTGATCCAACTGTGTAGCCCCCAGGCTGGCCTCAAATTCATGGCAGTCCTCCTGCTTCAGCCTCCCAAGTGCTGGGGCTATAGGCACTGCTTTCGCATCTGGTGTTTGTCTTTTTTCAAACATCTGTGCTATCCGGGAGGTAAGACTGCCACAGCTCTGTCCATCCCCTCCCGCAGGCTGCTGGTCAGACTCCAGGAAGGCAATGAGTCACTGACGGCAGAGGTCTCCATTGACAAGTAAGTTGGGGCAGGAGAGAGGGCGGGCCTAGCAGAGGAAGCACCAGCAGGTAAGGTGCGGGAGCTACTCACACCTTACAAGGGGGTCCCAGAGCTGTCTTTTATCCATTGCTTTCTTACCTCACAGAAATAACTCCTTTGTTCTGTTGAGCAACATTTCTAGGACTCATTCATGACTGACAGGCCCAGAGTTAGGCATCAGCAGTGCACCATACAGGCAAGGAAATAGGCTCAGAGACATTATGCCTGTGCTGTAGACCACGCAGCTAGTGAGCTGTAGAGCTTTGAACCCAAGTCCATCTGACCCTAAAGACCAAATTCCTAATTGCTGTATCCTTTTACCTCAAATGATTTTTTTAAAAACTTTCTTTTCAGGAATCCTCCTGAGTTACATAGGTAGGTACCTGATGAGGAAACTTGCAAACTTTTTTTATACTGTATGTATGATCTACACAGCCACCTTTGGTAGCTCTGGGGGGAGCACAGGGAGGAGGGGGATTTGAGTGGGATGTGGACAGAGGGATAAGGGAGGTGTGAAGTGAAGTAGAACTTGTTTTTGTTTTCTTTTGGAGTGAAAATTAATACTAACTCTGCTATCTGTATCCATCTATCCTCTTCTGTAACAGCTTCCGAAAGTTCAATATCCTGACCTCAAACCAGAAAACTTTGACTCCTGAGAAGGGGCAGAGGCAAGGCCTAATTTGGGACTTTGGCTTTCTGGTAAGCAGAGTCAGTTGTAATGAATGATCAGGTGTGGCGGTGCCTGTGTCCAGTTACTTAGGAGGCCGAGGCAGGAGGATTCCAAAAGTATGTTCAACCAGTCTGGACAATTTAGTGAAGTTCTGTCTCCGAGTAGAAGTTTTGAAAAGTGAAATGAAAATAGGGCTGAGACTGTAGTTCAGTGGTTGAGTGCTTGCCTAGCATGCGCAGAGCCCTGGTTTTAATCTAGTACACACAGAAAAAAAAGCAGAAAGATCAGTAACTTGGGTTTGTAGTCTAGAGGAAGGGACTGGTAGAAATCTCCAAGTTTTGAAACAAGGGTTTCAAGGCCCTTAGGGTTCTCACTCTGGCATGTTGTGTCCTTCCCTCAATTCACAGACACTGCTGGAGCAACGTTCAGGTGGTTCAGGAAAGGGCAATAATAAGGTAAGGCCAGGACAAGGACGGGAGGGAGTTTTGCCGAAGGGGCCTCTGGTCCCTGATCCTTGTGTGTGGCTGTCACAGGGTCCTCTGGCTGTGACAGAGGAGCTGCACATCATCAATTTCACAGTGAAATACACGTACCAGGGTCTGCAGCTGGATCTGAAAGTGAGTGAGGGAACGTGGGGAGAGATGTTGCAGACTTGAGCGGGAGGGGGCCGAGGGAGTGGACGTGGCTCCACCACGACGCCTGCCTTCTCCCCAGACGGACACTCTCCCTGTGGTGATTATTTCCAACATGAACCAGCTCTCCATTGCCTGGGCCTCAGTTCTCTGGTTCAATCTGCTCAGCCCAAACCCCCAGGTAGGAGGTGAGGCTGACAGGTGGAGCGGGCAGAAGCTTGGTTCGAGGGGCCATGCCTGAGCCTCTCTGCCCTCACCTCTCCTCAGAACCAGCAGTTCTTCTCCAGTCCCCCCGCGGCCCCCTGGAGCCTGCTGGGCCCTGCTCTCAGTTGGCAGTTCTCCTCCCACATTGGCCGAGGACTCAATGCAGACCAGCTGGCCATGCTGAAGGAGAAGCTGTTCGGTACTGATCTTTTCTCAGCCTTTCCCCAGCCTTAGTCTTCCCCAGCTGTCTCTCCTGTCCCAGCACCCCTGCCTGGCCTTGCCTTGTGGCATCTGAACCGCTATGCTACCTGTCCCACAGGGAAAACCTCAAAGATGGAGAATTTGTTGTCCTGGGCTGACTTCAGTAAGGTAACTCCCTGAATCCTGTGCTGCTAGGTCCCAGCCCAAATCCTGGCCCTTTCCCAATCTCTTTTCCCCACCAAGGTCAACTCGATATCCTTTCCTGCCTTTTCATTCTTCCTTCAGCGAGAGAGCCCCCCTGGCAAGGTACCATTCTGGACATGGCTGGACAAAATTCTGGAACTGGTACATGACCACTTGAAAGATCTGTGGAATGATGGGTAAGGCTTGGGTCAGCGTTGACCTCCAGGCCTGTTTTTTCTGGGCTTTGGGATGGACTTTGTGCTCCCCCATGTGGCAAACAGCAAAAGCTAGTGAAAGATCTCGTTTCTTTTTTGTCTTTTTCTTTTTTTTTTCCTTCAATTAGATTTTATTGGGGTTTTTTGGTACTTTATTTGTTGTTTGTTTTTTTGGTGGAACTGAGGATTGAACTCAGGCCCTTGCGCTTGCCAGCGAACCAGTTATTCTACTGAGCCATCTCCCCAGCCCCCTCAATTAGATTTTATTGGTACATTTTATTTATTTATTTATTTTTTTGAAGTGAACACAGCAAGATTTTATTGTCTTCACAATAAAAAACATGAAAAGTTAA